ATGGATGGGATTGTAGAATTGCCTGAATAGGTCGGCCGTGTGGGAAAGTATGCGAATGGTCAACTGCATGTATTGGTGACAATATGAAGGTTCCGAGGAAGTTCTGGGAAAATCTTATTGGTTTCTGTACACTTGTATTTGAGCTGGTGCGTGAACGTCTATAGTTAGCGATGAAACTTCCAAGTTCAACTGAGGGAAATGAACGTATTCTCCGACACTGTAGATCGGGGAATGCACCAAACACATTGGACGTGAGGACGGGACTATACGACGCGGAGTAACGATAAAAATCCCTTTTCCGGGGTTCGAACCGGCGTATCCCCCCAGACTGGAGTCAGCAGCCCCCATCTGGTTGTAAACCAGTTGCAGACGTTCGAGCAGAGTAACGCGGGAGAGGGTCGGAATGGGCAATAACAACAGCAACAGACGGTGAGACCTCTATTGGGCCGCCCGGCCCCGGCTATTCAATTTGAGGCAACTTCGATGATATTAGCAGAACTCGTCCCTTCGCCCCGGGGATCTCTAGCTCTGACGCTCGGGTGTGTAAGCGATGTGTTACTATACACGCATTGAATGAACTTGTCACCCTGAAGCGAGAACGTAGACCTATACGTCTTTGGAAGTATCACATTGAGACTCAATCTGATAGTCATCCTCAAGCAAACATTTTCTGAGTAACTAGAGAATACGAGTCTGTTAGCGAAGCGTATGACGAACAAGGAACACATTTGCTCTGGATGTTCAGTGTGGATGAGATTCGGTCGTCTTATGCACTTGTGAAATCTTGTATTTCCTCAACGTATCTGAGCATTATCATTAGAGCATCTATTATGTCGAGTTATGCTGCCTCGATGCCCTCAAGAGCTCAAACAGGAGGCGCCCGTCTCTCCGACCAGCACCTGCGATAGCCTAACCGTCACCGATGGCCTCCCTCTGGACTCTATGATGCTCGATAGTCTCTCTGAAAGGGGGACTCCTAGGGACGAGGATGTACATACCTGGTGGGAGATTTGGAAGATTTTTGGTATCATCAGGTAAGCGAGTCGGACCTTTTTAACGACCTACTGGACATGGATTCCTCCACTACCACTCCCACCTCGCCTCGACTCGGCCTCATCGACATCCACGATGATGTTGTGTGTAAAATACTGTCCTTCCTACCGGCCTCCTCCATAGTAAGCTCCTCACAGACATGCAGGTGATGACTTTTTCCGCATTTTCCTCCGCTGTTACGCCGCACCGCAGATATCTGAGAGCGTGTGGGAATCGTGATGAATTGTGGTATTGGGTTTATCATTACCGCTGGCCGCCTAGGAAGGACCGTTACGGTCGGAGAGTAATAGCAACAGTTAGGGCATCGAGCGACCTCTGACGTGTTGACTCTTCAGGCCAACCTACGTTATAAACCCTTTGTTCGCTGTTGGAAGAAAGAACTGCAGCTCCGGGCCGACTCGGAGGCCTCCGGTGTGGATAAAGCTGAAGTTGTTGATAAAAGTTGGGGTGATTGGGATGCAGCAGTCGCTCTTGGCATTCAAGCGGTAATGTGCCATGGGCATTCTGTGGAGTATCTTATAAGCATTCAGACTCCTCGTGGAGGTCATCATACCATCACTAATGAGCCGTCCGCTCCCTCGTCTTTGCGTTCGCCTTACTCCGCGTCTCGAGCCGCCCAGTTGGACCGTGAACGGCGGGTATGGAGGGAAGCACGAGACGAGTGGATGCTCTGGCGAGTAGTGTATCGAGATACAGAAGAGCATCCAGACCCGAAGGACTTTCCTACGCACACCTGTGATAATACGAGGTCCAGAGTCCAGGTGGTCTCAGGGGCATCACCAGAAGGATGTCCTCAGGTGCACGCTGTGGAGGTCTCGGAAATTCCGGGATGCCTTCGTCTGCGATGAGACGGGTCACATCCACGAGTGCAACGGGCGTACGATGGAGGACTCAGCCTGTGATAGCGCTATGTGGGACCGCGGCAACCAGTGCTGGGTCTGCCCTATCAGCATGAGGATATTCAGGTAGTGTCGGGGTGTCGAGAGTTCAGTATAGACTCAGTCACTCGCCACGAAATTCCGGAGCTGCAGGAACCTCGACAGTGGTGTGACGAACATTGCAGTTTGCTTTGAATTGGACATAGTGTCTCCTTCCGGCAGATACGCAGCGCCTCGCAATGCGGCAGTTGAACAGGGTATAGAGCCTGGTGGGGAGGACTTTGGACCCGCACAATACCTTGGAGACGACTCTCGAGGTACTTACTAACCCTGGGGTTATCGCGTTGGAGGCTGCTGTTACCTTAGGTATAGTAGACCCTCGAGCAGGGGAAGGGGAGTGTGGGGAGGTAGAGGGACAGGGTGGTGATGGGTGGTGTTGCTGTCGGGAACAAGAAGTAGTGTCTATCTAGTTGGTGGGATTGATGTGCATCAGCAGTTGCTTCTTGGACTGGTATTATCAAGGCTATGAGGCCTCTATGGCAGACGAGCGTCGCGAGGCGGAGGCGGAGCGAAGAAATTTTGAGAGAATGGGAGAGGCTCGGTTCCGCGGTGTAGGATTTGGAGGGGATGGGTTATTACGGACTCGACTCGATACCCTTCGAACCGACAATAGAAAGCTGATGAGGAGTACCTCGAGTTTGATGTCGTTTGTAATGAAATAATAATACTGGTTCGGTGGATATCTGTGAGCTTATCGAGATTGCCACAGTTTGTTTTGGACGAAAAGGAAGCGTATTGTATTTGAACAGTTGTGACCACATGATAGTAGTCACTCAGTGGGATTGGTGTTCTTAGGCGTCATTGCACGGTCATCGTTGCCATAGGAGTAATGAGGCGAGGAGGAAACGGTCCCATCCTCAAGCAGTCGTCGATGGTGGCACAGAGAGGCCGTGTGCTCTGCGTCGTTTGTTATGATTGATCCAACTGAGTGCTTGTGTTAAGTGGGACCTTTGGGTAACGTAGGGGGGGAAGGGGCATAGCCATGGAAACAGGAGAATTTTGGAATGATAATTAATTTCCACCCCTTCCTGTTCACAGTACATGATGCATGATACTGTGCATACTATACAGTATGGGTACATCTGAATGCGCATCACTGTGTTCTTGATGCGGAGCTTCAGTGAGGGGATGCGTGGCCGAATTCGGTAAGTGCTGGTGACGACTTATCACTCTTCAGTACTCCTGCCCGTCCTCACACATAACTGTGTATCTCAGGTGCAACTCAGGTGTAACTCAGGTATAATCGAGAGCGCTCACCAACAGCGTCGTGACAGGAGACATCTATCGTCGTATCCTAGAGCGTATGTCCCTCAGTGTGAATTTTGTCTCCCATATGGACATTACTCGGAGACTTACAAACAACACCGTAAGGAAGGGGACACATATGTTCATTTGGTAGATGAGGAAGGAAGCCCTTCCAAGTTAACATCTTCAAGCTCGATCCATACGGGGTAGGGGCCCCGTGCGCCATGCCCAACCGCTGAGACGACCTCAATACAAGGGATTAACTCGAACACGCTTACGCTTTCCCATCATGTGGTGTCCATAATTGCAAAGTATTAGCCTGTCGAGAGGGGTGACCCCAGACAACAGGCCTCCAGGATCGTCCCATCGGACGAATGCCTGTTCGTATACCCTGAGGGGCAACCGCATGTGGACGAGCACACCTTGACCGTCCCAACCTTTTCGAAAGCTGAGAGCGACTGAGAGATCTTCATCTCCGATGATGGACTATCGACAGCCACTGTTTCAAGCATGTCAGTGTTGTTATTCTGCGACATTGAAGAGGAGGGCATGGCTGTGTGTACGATGTACCTACGGTGTAGACACACAGAGGGGCATGACTGTCGCTGAGAGGCACCGTTCTTAGTCTCACGAGTTCCCATATTCATCGCGGGATCCTGAGCGCCCTTGAGGGTTGTGTAGTGGCAGCATCGGGCAACTACCGATTGTGGCCAGTCGCTCGCCGTCAGCTCGATCAAGAGGCCATCCGCCTCGCCACAATATCTGAGCACAGGTGTTGGAATAGACCATTCCTTGCGCTGAGAAGATATGCTATACAGTGTGTGCCAATTTGATATGCATCTGTGAAAATTTAATAGGAATCGATCTGAAACTATGCTGGATAGTTCACGTAAATATCGCTATGAACATGTGATGTGATAGAAGTAACCGCTCGAAACTGTGATAGCGACAACTTGTTCACTATCATTCGCGTCAGAAAATAGCGCACATTGTTCACATTTGCATATCAAATTGGCACGCACTATACATGCTTCTATCTACTGCATACTCGGGGATGCGGCCTTCTATGTCTCGGCCTGGCGACACCGTTGAAATACTCTTCTTTGCGGCACAGTCGCGTCGCTAGCTTCTCCAGCCGCTTCGTGCGCACTTCCTAATCGATCAATGAACATAGTGGTTAGAGGCGACTTACGCAGTCCTGTATGAATAGTAGGGGAAAGCGGGTCATCAGTCGAGACCTCCGAGACCCCTGTCTTGCCTGTGTCGATGATGGCACCTAGATTGGGACGACCCAATAGGGTGACCATACAGCGAGCACTTCCGCAGGACCGACCCTATTGGAGGGCGCGATGGCGTGTCGAGTAGACGCCGGTGTGGTCCCCATAGATAGCGGTCGTTCGTCGAGGGGCATCTTGGTTCAATCAATAGGGGTAGTAGCACTCGTGATGAAGAAGCGCCGCACTAGGCCATATACAGACCATGCAATTGACGAACACAAGGTGTGGTATATCGCAGCAGACACAGCACATGATGGTGAGTAGAGGAAGCCTCACTCTTCGACAAAGTCGGACTCGTATTCTTCCTCTTCTTCCTCTTTAGAAGAGATTGCAGTGCCGTTTCGAGCAGCCCCATTTCCAGCCATCTCAGTGGGCTCCACCGAGCTGTCTTCTGCCCCTTCCCGGATTTCCGTTGCCGGCGTCGCCGACTTTGGTACTGCGAGTTCGGTTGGGGCCTGGTCCGGCTCGTCGTCGTCCAGGCGACCTCGTGAGCTGGACGATCGCAGACTACTGAGGGACCGTCGGCAACTGGTTGAGTGGCGAGACCGGAAAATGCTGCCGGGGTCGTTCGCTACAGAAGCTGCACTCACTCGGGTTTGGCTCACCATACTCAAGTAATGCCGTCCCGACTCCACGAGGACACGGAAGTGCCTGAGACTGAGGATGGCCGAACAGATGTCAATGTGGGGCTTACTCTGCAATGGTTTTGGGGTCTCGAGGTCTGGGTAGTCTATGAACGGACACAGGCTCATGCCGATGTCCTGGCCCGGGCCCATCGTTCCCCCGTACCGGTCTCAGTATGGGACTCATACTAGGGGATCTCGGCGGGGAGCTCGGTGGTGGAGGCTCGTACCGCACCGGGCGTTCGGCCAGCTCCGAACGATCAACAGAGTCGGGCGCCCATCGAGGGCCGATCTGATCGGCCCCAAGAGTGGATGGTATGTCGTAGGAGCCGGGCCCAAGACCAGAGTCGTAACCCCGAGGGGTCGACAAGCGTGGGGCCAGGCTCCACTGAGTGGACCGAGGCAGCACCGAGTGGTGGTTGATAGAAGGCAACAGGCTAGTCAAAGAGGCTGCCGACTTTGGACGTTCGTCCTTCTTGGCAGCTTCGAAGTTGGTCTGGAACTTCCGACGGTCGTACTCGACTCGCTGCCTTTTCATTGCCTGAGAGGAAGTATACAGGACGATTGAATTCAGCGATCCACTTAATGAGTCTTGTCTGGGCTTACGAATCAGAGGACCACCGACCTCGTCATATGAGAATACTAAGGTACTTAAAATCAATCACAGTGAGGCCCTCACCAGAGTCATTCGTTCCATTTCGATGTCGCAGGCGGCCTCGAGGACCTGTCGATCAGCTTCCGCGTCCTTGAGGTACTGTTCACGTCTCCGTCTTCGCTCTACCAGATGCTCACTGATCTAACCATAGACACACAATAGATCATCAAAGCAGCAAAGGTAGCAGGTCGGACCGCTCGTTTTCGATGTGTTTCCTGGACGAAAGCCTCGAACTCCATCTTGTTACGGTGTAGCTGATCCTTGCTACGCGTGTCCTTAGCACGCATCTCCTCGGTCAAAGCCATCTGAGCATTCATACTCAATACGGCTAGGCTTGGGCCTCATAATGGGCACCTTCCTGCGCTCGTCCTCCTTCACCTTTTCTCGCAGTCGAGCTAACCGTGAGCGTTCTGCGCTGAGTAACGCAGCCCTCTTGGCTCGACGAGACTCCGCCTGAGCAAAGCGCAATTGCGTAGCAATTATTTCTCGACTGAGACTACCCGGGCGGCAAGTGCCTCTGACAGTCTCATCTCACGATCCTTGCGGACTTGCAGCAGCTGGTCACTGGGAAAGAGTTGAGTCGGTCAGAGAGGTCAACACATGTGTCTACCGATTGTGCTCTTGCATATCCTTATTCCGCTTGAACCTGTCCCCACGCTTAGCGTCCCGCATACGCTTTGTGGCCTCGGCTAGCTGCTCCATACGTTGTCGATACCTGATGGCGACTCTGGACCGTCGTAGCTTAGGTCGAAAGCACATCTGTTGGCGACGCTCCTTGTCAAGCATTTCCATCATACGCTGATATATGAGCTCATCTCGCTCCTTCTTCCGTTGGGCACTCCTCGACCTTGCCCTCTCTCCTGAACATGAGTCAGTCTGCGGTAGCTTCTATGGGAAGGCAAACATATGCTTTTCGCTATTGAGACTCACTCCGTGCTTCGTTGTCCATGAAGGAAGCCTTCTGTTTCTCGAGACGTGCCATATGAGACCGCATTCGTGCCATAGCAGTGGTGGCAAAGTCATCAGGCGTTGTGATCGATCGCAGAGTGCCTGAGGAATAGCCTCTCACTGACGGCTAGTAGCCCAGGCCTTCCTCACGGTCAAGAGATCGGCCTCGTTGAGAACCTCCCGTTGTCGACAGGTTCTTGCCTTGCATCCACTCGTCGAAGGACTGGGTATTGGCGTAGCTCGACTTGACCATAATGGTGTCGTACTCGTTCCTAATGAGTGATATGAGGCTGCCTCCCACCGGACACGACTGCTTCCTCACAATGCTTCAGCTAGACAGGATATACGCCAATCTAGGGGAAGATCTGTTTCATCAAGTGTCGTATAGCTTGGGAACTCTGGTTGAGGAGTCTTGCTGTAATCCTGGGTATGCCAGATATCGACTTCAGATGGTCTCAGGCCTAGCCTATAGCAAGCCTCGACGAACCTCGGGGACCTGGAGCAAGAGAGGCTGTTCGAGGGATCGTTGGAAGAACTCACTTAAGTATCTCTGTCGGAGTGAGGCCCCGGTCAGCGATTCTCATACGCCCTCGTGATGAGAGAGAGGCGAGTGCTTCCTCGGGGAATTCGCTCATGCCATTTGTTGGGATGCTCTGTCGACTGAGGAGGTGGTGGGTCCATGTCGACATCATAGCCTTCTAGTGTTACCGCTGCTCGCGATGTGTCAGTGAGGTTCTTCATCACTTTAGAGGAGGGACCGTCGTGGCTTCCTTCACCGGGCATTGCAGATCATAGGATGAATCGGGCGGAAGCCCACAGACTGAGTGTTGATATTCGGAACGGCAATTCTCATAACTGATTGGCTGAGTCGACGATCGGTCTCAGTAGATCCTATCGACGTGGGCCCAGATGTTACATATATTTGAGCA